CCCTCCGCCCTCCGCGCCCCCGCAGGTCCAGCTGCCCGTGTCTCTGGACCTGCCGCCTTTCCCTCCATCATGATGCAGCCGGTGCAGCACCCCGCACTTCCTCCCCAGCTCGCCCTGCAGCTGCCCCAGATGGACACGCTCTCGGCCGACCTCACTCAGCTCTGCCAGCAGCAGCTCGGGCTGGATCCCAACTTCCTGCGGCATTCTCAGTTCAAACGCCCGCGGACGAGGATTACGGATGACCAGCTGAAAATCCTGAGGGCTTATTTTGACATCAATAATTCTCCGAGTGAAGAGCAGATCCAGGAAATGGCAGAGAAATCTGGTCTCTCTCAGAAAGTCATCAAGCACTGGTTTCGAAATACGCTTTTTAAGGAGCGGCAGAGAAATAAGGATTCACCCTACAACTTCAGTAACCCTCCCATAACTGTTCTGGAAGATATCAGAATCGACCCACAGCCCTCCTCTTTAGAACCTTACAAATCGGATGCATCCTTCAGTAAGAGGTCTTCTAGGACCCGGTTTACTGACTACCAGCTTAGGGTCCTTCAAGACTTCTTTGACACAAACGCTTACCCGAAAGATGATGAAATAGAACAACTTTCCACTGTTCTCAATCTGCCCACCCGGGTTATTGTTGTGTGGTTCCAGAATGCTCGTCAGAAGGCCCGGAAGAGTTACGAGAATCAAGCAGAGGCTAAAGATAATGAAAAAAGAGAACTCACTAATGAGCGGTATATTCGAACGAGCAACATGCAGTACCAGTGTAAGAAGTGCAATGTGGTTTTCCCCCGGATCTTTGACTTGATTACACATCAGAAAAAGCAGTGTTACAAGGACGAAGACGACGATGCCCAAGACGAAAGCCAAACCGAAGACTCCATGGACGCCACGGACCAGGTGGTGTACAAGCATTGCACGGCGCCTGGCCAGACCGACGCAGCCAAAAGCGCGCCTGCGCCCGCGGTAAGTTCTGGCTCCGGGACTAGTACCCCGCTGATTCCATCACCCAAACCAGAACCTGAGAAGACGTCGCCAAAACCTGAATATCCCACAGAAAAGCCAAAGCAGAGTGACCCCTCGCCCCCTTCTCAAGGCATCAAACCAGCCCTGCCACTAGCATCGACTTCCTCAGACCCACCGCCGGCCTCGGCCGCTCAGCCGCAGCCACCGCCGCCGAAACCACCCCAACTTCTCGGAAGACCTCCCTCGGCCTCTCAGACCCCGGTCCCCTCCAGCCCACTGCAGATTTCCATGACTTCTCTCCAGAACAGTCTACCTCCGCAGTTACTACAATACCAATGTGATCAGTGCACAGTTGCCTTCCCGACTCTGGAACTCTGGCAGGAGCACCAGCACATGCACTTCCTCGCTGCTCAAAACCAGTTCCTTCACTCTCCGTTCTTGGAACGGCCCATGGACATGCCCTACATGATATTCGACCCCAACAACCCGCTGATGACGGGACAGCTGCTGAGTGGTTCTCTCACACAGATGCCCCCGCAGACCGCCGCCTCGCACGCCGCCGCGCCCGCCACCGTGGCCGCTTCCCTTAAAAGGAAACTGGACGACAAAGAAGACACCAACTGCAGTGAGAAGGAAGGCGGGAACAGCGGCGAGGACCAGCACCGTGATAAACGCTTGAGAACCACCATCACCCCGGAGCAACTGGAAATACTCTATGAAAAATACTTACTGGATTCCAATCCTACCCGGAAGATGCTTGATCATATCGCCCGCGAAGTAGGGCTGAAGAAACGAGTCGTGCAGGTCTGGTTCCAGAACACGCGCGCGCGAGAAAGGAAAGGCCAGTTCCGGGCGGTGGGCCCGGCCCAGTCCCATAAGCGGTGTCCGTTCTGCCGAGCCCTGTTCAAGGCCAAGTCAGCCCTGGAAAGCCACATTCGCTCCCGGCACTGGAATGAAGGAAAGCAGGCAGGTTACAGTTTGCCCCCAAGCCCTTTGATATCCGCGGAAGATGGGGGAGAAAGTCCGCAGAAATACATTTATTTTGATTATCCCTCTTTGCCATTGACGAAAATTGATCTCTCCAGTGAGAATGAATTGGCTTCTACGGTGTCAACGCCAGTGAGTAAAACAGCAGAGCTGTCGCCAAAGAATCTTCTGAGCCCTTCTTCTTTTAAAGCAGAGTGCCCCGAGGATGTGGAGAATTTAAATGCCCCTCCTGCAGAGGCCGGGTATGATCAGAATAAGACTGATTTTGATGAGACTTCGTCCATTAACACAGCCATCAGTGACGCCACCACTGGAGACGAGGGGAACGCCGAGATGGAAAGCACCACAGGAAGTTCCGGAGATGTGAAGCCAGCTTTATCCCCTAAAGAGCCGAAAACGCTGGACACTTTGCCCAAAACAGCAACCACACCCACCACGGAGGTCTGCGAGGAAAAATTTCTCTTTTCTCTCACCAGCCCCTCGATACCTTTCAACGATAAAGACGGTGACCACGACCAAAGCTTTTATATCACCGATGACCCTGACGACAATGCTGACCGCAGTGAAACGTCCAGCATCGCGGACCCGAGTTCGCCAAACCCATTTGGATCCAGCAATCCTTTTAAATCCAAAAGTAACGATCGGCCAGGTCACAAGCGTTTCAGAACCCAAATGAGCAATCTTCAACTCAAGGTTCTCAAGGCTTGCTTTAGTGACTACCGAACTCCAACCATGCAAGAGTGCGAAATGCTAGGGAATGAGATTGGTCTGCCCAAACGCGTGGTCCAGGTGTGGTTCCAGAATGCCAGGGCCAAGGAAAAGAAATTTAAAATCAACATAGGGAAGCCTTTCATGATCAATCAAAGTGGAACGGAAGGCACCAAACCAGAGTGTACCCTCTGTGGGGTGAAGTACTCTGCCCGCTTGTCCATCAGAGATCACATTTTCTCCAAACAGCACATTTCAAAAGTGAGGGAGACCGTTGGGAGTCAGCTTGATCGGGAGAAAGATTACTTGGCCCCGACAACCGTTCGACAGCTGATGGCACAGCAAGAACTTGACCGGATCAAGAAAGCCTCAGATGTGCTGGGCTTAGCGGTCCAGCAGCCGAGCGTGATGGACAGCAGCTCCCTTCATGGCATCAGTCTGCCAGCAGCCTATCCAGGACTCCCCGGCCTTCCCCCAGTCCTTCTCCCTGGAATGAACGGTCCATCCTCTTTGCCTGGATTTCCACAAAATTCAAACAGTAAGTCATTTCAAGGAGAGTCAGTCTAATTAATTAAGTGATATTAGGCAGCCAATGACCTGTACCAAGAACAGGAGACATTGGATCTCTCTTAATTTCAGTAAGTAAAACCATTAAGTTATTTGAAATATATATTTTAGTGGCATAGTTAATAAGCCAACCTGAACGTAGGCAGAAAAATAAAGACCAGGTAGATCAGCCAGAAATATATCATTAATATCATTACATCTTTATGTCATAGAAACATTCCTTTTATATCCTCATTGCAAAACCAATTTCAAATGGCATTTCAGTACACACAAGTGGCACAAAATCTGGGATACATACTAAGAAAATGAAGCATTAAGTAATACGTTAATTGGCATCTTAATTTATGTTATTTCCAAGGGAGACTTTTTCTTTTTTGGTTTTGTGCTTTTTGGGGTCTTTTCCCCCCATGAATGACAGGAAGTTCAAAAGCTGGGGGTCTTCTAGATACAGGAATTCCCCCACATTACACCTCGCAGGTAATAAAGCTAATATATATAGAAAGTTTAACTACTAAAAATATGACTTCTGTGACAATTTGTAATTGAGCATTGCTATATGATTTTGCTTTTTGTAGCAGCCATTGTTGCTTACTATTTAAGTAAATTCTCAACCTTAGAAACAAATTCATATTACTCCATGCCTTTCTACCACCACCCTCGGCCAAGATTTATGATTAAGACAGAACAAAATGGTTAACTTGTTTGAGGCAATCCCAGATGGTGAATCCAGCTCTCTTGTTTATGAAGGGAAGTGCAGTTTGTACAGTTCCGATTTTGTGAGTAAGTGTAGGTAGCTAATTATAGCAGGTTGAAAAAAATTGAATATAATGTGGTAGGCAGTCATGTAGCCAAACATACAACAAACGTTGTATGTTATCCGAAATAGAAAAAAATGATTCTCATTTCTTCTTTAAAGTCTGTTTTATTTTCTAAATTACAGTGATTTTTTTTCTTTCTAAAAGGAAATCATGACATTCCAAAGACACATCTAGAATGAACCAATTACATACTATCTAGAAAGTTTCCAAAGCACAAAAGGAAAGCTTTTTTCATTTTCCCAAATTGGACTTTTACATAAATATTAAACTTGTCAATGTTATCCTTCTCTTAATGGCAATTTTTATTTTAATATGCCTTTGGGAGATATTCCTATTTTAACTTTTAGCTTGGGAGACATGAAAACAGCGATGTCACGTGACTGCTTAGCCACTGCCAGCTTCTCTGGTTCCCTGTCCAGAATGACTTGTTGGCATTAGAGAGAAACAGAATGGCTCTACACATAGAAAGAATTTTACCAAGAAAATTTCTGCAACATCCTTTCCTTGAACTATCACACCAGCTACCTTCCCCTGCCCACTCCTATTCTTTGGGCTTAATTATCTGGATATTCTTTGGGCCTTAAATATTAAAGCTACAATTATGTGTTTTGTTTGTACCTTTCAATTAAGTCAAATATAATTAGTTTAAGAATAATTCGATGGCTGTATTTTTTTTTTGCCTATGGATGTATTAGTCTTCTAGTCTCTTTATATATCACTGTGATTATTAATTGACACCTAGAAAAATGTCTTAAGTGAAAAAACTCCTGTATGACCAGTTATGTAAAATAGTCTTTCCACATGTCTAATGTGGAAAACGCCTATGAACACTTCATGTAAATTTTACAGTTATGTAAAATAGAGTAAAATTTGGGCTGAGAACAGTTCAAGTAACTGTACCTTTAATCCACAAGTCAGCTTTGATTGATGACGCCTGTGTAGTCACCCCCCACAAGTGGTGGTCAGTGCATCTTATTTTTCTCTCCACTGGATCAGAAGGCCTTTGCGTGGACACTGGGTCCTTTGCTGACTGCCCTTTGGGTTTTTCACTCTGAAACTGGTACCCAGAGGACCTGTATTGAACAAAGCCAGGAGGGAGGAGAGAGAAGGTGTTTATGAAATACTTAAACAGCCTAACCTTCCTCCTCATTCTGTGCACCATAAAAATAAGTTACATCCTCCCCCTGAAATATGGGCACACTTTGTAAATATCAGAGTTGTGAGAAGATGTTGGAGGCAGGCCCTCCTCAGGGAGCATTGTCTCAAAAAGCATCTGGTACTGTGGAACCCAGCGCCATGTATCTGCTGCTTCATTAAATCATGGACCAAAACAGACTAGAGTGTTATAAAAAGAAAGGTCCATGAACATACCTACTGGAATTTGCAATTCCTCTTAAATTAGTTCTTTGTTTGTAATGGAATTTAAACGTTAGCACAGCAGAGTTGTCAGCAGGATCCCACTGGCGAGCCTGCATTCCCACACTTTGCGCTCACAGCTTTTTTAGGTTAATTTATCTGTGGTGGGTCATGCTGAAGAGTTTAATCACCTCATGGAGTAGAACTGTGGTTCTCCATCTTTCTATCAGCATCTTTCTACTGTATTATTTTTCGTCAAACAGGTATCTCCTTTGCTTAATGGGAGAAACAGACATCCCAGCTACTTGAAATCAAAAGGAGAAAATTACTTCTTAAGTAGAATATTCTTGTATTTCTCACGTGCCCTGAGCTCTTCTAACAGTTTGTTATCTACATGGATAAACTTTGACAATATGACATGTTCATCTTGGGCCCATTATTTAATGGGATTTAGTTATGGAAAAGTCTTCATTTTAAAGGCACCCCATCCCTCTAAAGGTAGATTTCAAGGTTTTGTTCCTAAGCAAATCACTACAAAGAGACTCCACTGAATGAGATATGTCATAAAGTAAGTAATGTCTGATTGCAAAGGCTGCACCCCCAAAATTGACTTAATTGCATTATACATGTTCAGTTTTAGCATTTACCAACCTCTTAAATTCCTGATTTAAATACCCATTTTGTTCTTTTTTGGGTGGAATTGCTGTTGTATTTTAGCAGCTTTAATTCTCATAAAATTTCCTTACCTTACTTTCAGGAAATCTTCAAATTATTTAGTCTGTCAAGATCACAAAGACGGATCTTTCAAGAGTAATACCCATCATGTTTGCTGCTTCCTGAACAATGACTCAGCCCTGTGCTCGGGAGCACTGCTTACTAGCACTCATTTTTTAATAAAAGGAATTATTTTCTGCTAACTTTTGTCATTTTCTATCATGATCATATGCAAAAAGAGAAAATGTCAATAGAAAATCATGTGCCTTAACACCCGGAAAAAATTAGAAAACTTTACATTTTTACCCTTCAGGACGTTAGCTTCTTCTGGCATTTTGCTCAAGAGGAATAGGAAAATAACTTGATTTTTTAATTTTTAACTGATTTCCTTTATTGTTTTAAGCAGTGTCTGATTTTTATATGATCCATTAGTTTTTGGAAAAACTGCCTAACCCCATTTCCTTAAATGGAACTTTAGAACATGCCTTTTGCATTTTTCTCATACTTCAGTGTAATTTACTAGCACATTTGGGGTAAATCTAGATGCAAGTAAGTCTTTAATAATTTTGGCACAATTGTCCTTGGCCCGTGTACATAATTAGTTTTATTTTTCACTTCAAGAGCAGATTTTCCCTCTGGGAGACCTAGATCAAAGAAACTTGGGGAAAAGAGAACACATCTACACTAATCGTGAGACAGGCATTTTCTTTTGGAAGCATGACTTTCGGGAATATGAAGCTGTCTCGGGAAAACAAAACCAAACAAAATGATGGTAGCATGAGATTATCTGTAGAAAAACTTCCATCTCTCAGTGAAATTTCAAAGAATTGGAGTAAGAGTTAGGGAACAGGAAAGAATGCATCTTTGTAGTCACCACCACTTATTTTGTATCATGATTACCGTTCAGTTTTTCTCTTCTATTTCTGGTTTTCATATATCAGTTGACAGCTGAACTTTTGACTGCCGGTTTTTATAAGTTTGTGTCTTTTCCTCGTAGCCCCAATGTACATTATTCATTATCTTTGGTCTGTTTCTCTTTTCTTAACATTTTTACTTAACAGTTGATCGTTTAACTTGACTCACTCCTCAAGATGTTGAATTCCTAAAATGCTTATAGTCTTTGACTGTAGTAGTTGGGATTCCTATTCCTATTCCTATTGTAATAAAAATTTTCATTATTTCACTATATGACCTCTGGATAGGAATTTGTAGACCCCCATCTGATGGGAAAGCCTGAGCTAAAAATTCACTACTTATCTACTCACTTTCTAACTAGTATTGCTATTTTTTTTAGGTCTTAGTTCATTACAATTTCTCTTGTCTTAAATTCTCATGTCAGAGGGATGAGCCACCAATTTCCTTAGATTTAGTGGGGGAAAGCCCTCAGGTGAGAGGGCGTGCAGTTACTGAGTATGAAGTCTGGGTTTACTAGACCCAGAACTAAGGTTGGCTTTATGAATGAGCAAAAGAAGCTAGCTACCAACATAATATCATTCTAACAGTGCAAAGAAGGATCTCCTGTCCTCAGTGAATCTTCTTCTACCTGAATCACTCATGCCTGAAATTCTGTAATTAGATATTAATTCTTCTGACTTAGTCCATTATCTTCTGTTAAGTGTGTAGTGGAAAATAGCATAGAATATCATGAAATCAGAATATCATAGCAGGAAGAAACCTCAGATTATCTATTCTAGTATATATTGATCCTTTTCAATAAGAGGTGGTTTTTTTTTCTTCCTTGCAAATAAAATTGTATAGAGAGGGAAGTAGAAAGAAGATCAAGACACCAGACATCATAGTGTAGGAATAAAGGCAAGGGAGTTGTGGGTTTGGATCCCCAAAAGCAATTCCATTATTTTACCATTTTCTCTAAGGCTAAGTCCCATGAATCTAAGAAGTCTATCACACTAAATTGGATTAAAGATTTGGGGATTTACTTATTCATTGCTACTATATCCTGGGAAATCTTAAGCCATTTTCATTTAAATTTATTTCAAATATTTTAGCCATTCTTCTGTAAAATGTGGATACTCACTATATTTCTCTTGGATGTACAATATTATTATTTTCAAGGGTTGTTTTTTCCATATTTGCATAGTTTGCCATTTACAATTGATCCAATTAGACAGGAAGACAAATTTGAGTGGCAGCTATAATATTTAGCTTCCCTACCACACATCTACCATCAAGTTGTAGATTTCTCTCTGTCAAGTCATTGCACAGCCCTAGGACTCGATTTTCTCCCCCAGAAAAATGGAATTTTTAGCATCTGCCCCCACTTACTATTGAGGATATTGAAAGACCCTTCTCTAACATGATGGAAATTTAGAGACTATTACTGATACAACCACAGAAATTATTTCAAAGCAGGTCGGAGAAGAGTTGGCTGTGGTAAGGTTACTAAGAAGAGCAGCCGGTAATAAGCTAGGCTAATTGACAGTAATATGATCATGATTAGGGTCAAGTTGAGTGTGATGTTGAGGACTTGAGTGTGTCCTGGATGCTAAGCCTAAGACAAGCTTTCTCCATTGCATAAAGACCAATCAAGAAACTAAAGTTTTTTCTAGCTAAAAAAATGGAAACACATAGTTTTTGTGTCATTTTTCATTTTTGAACACTCAATTGTTGCATTTCTCATAGAGGTTAAGACTTGAACCAGTATTTAAAAGATGGTTGTCTTATCTCTTACGATCATTTTCTCTCTAGCTATGCACTAATAACTTAAACTTCATTCGCCTTCTCCCAGTTAATTCTTCCATCAGCCCAGTGGGTCTCCATCATGGTCATTGTCCTGATCACTTGGTGGTGAGCCTTCCCTCCTTCAGGAATGAACCACCACCCAATTAGGCTTCCAGTCTGTTCCTTTGGTGGTCAACTGTGTTTGCCTCTAAAAATCAGAAAGGCACAGACTTTTACAATTCCCTTTTCTATCCTGAGCTGTCTTAGTTTCTCACCCAGTTCTCCAGCTTATAAAAATGGCTTCGTAATACCTTACTACTAGCCACCGCATTAGATCGAGTACTTGAAATCCAGCAAAGATCTCTTCTGTTTCAATACCAGTCATACTCTACCCTATGTGTGTCTGCCTACTGAGCACTTGGTTTCCCTTCTCTAATGGGGTGGGGGCCATTTTTGCATACTACCAGCAAACCTAGACGCAGCATGTTTTGGGGGTGATGAAGTTGAGTGTTAATACATTCAGTCCCTATCAAGTACTCTGTTAGGCAAAGTGCCCGGATGGTAATGAGCAGCTTAACCTGTACACTTAACAATGGCATCAGACCTCACCATGCTCAGTCCTGGTCAAGAAGAGCTGTGACTACACTTACTTGTTTTCCGGTGTCATCAGTTGTCATTTACTTTTGCTATTTAATTAGCTTATCCCCTTCTTTATTTGACACAAATTTGTTTTCCTACTGGAACTTAGGCAGATGGACTTCATTTTACTTGATAGCTAATTATTTTTCGTGAATGTGGTAATTATCAGACTGCTCAAGTGGAGGACCAGTGGGCCCGCCTTTCCAGAGGTACAATCACAATTGGTTACAGTAAAGAACAGAGTAGGAATCTTGCAGAGTGTCAGTTAGGAGTACCCAACTGCTGGTCGCCATGATGTCCTTGTTCTAACAGTCTATCTTTCATGTGATGGGAGCCTTTTGTTTTCAGAGTAAAATATTGCTCAACCGTGTAGATGGCATTCCTGAGAGTCGTGGTGGGGGTTAACACCAATAGAAGAAAGATGATAAACTCAGAAAAGCTGGTGCGGGCGACGTCTCCTGGTGTGTGTAATACGTCTTTTCGGACACCGCCCACGTCGGCAGGGACTTCTGTTTAGGGGTTCAGCATCAGTCTTCCGTGCACTGACAGTGGGCATGTCTCTTATT